CATCCGGGAAGGCAACAGTATGACTGCATTGCTGCGGACATATTCATTCTCCAGATCTTCTGGGACCCATGGAGGGGATCCTTGTAAAAAATGGCGCCCTGTAGAGATGACCTAGAGGCTGCTTTTGAGGCGCCTTAGGTACATAGGGACTGGGCAGTTGCTCTAAGGATCTACCTTCGCTTATCCCTAAACCCTCCTGGTACCTCGAAGATCGTTCTTCGAGCCAAACGGAAGTGCTCCGGTTTTTAAAATCACGGCCGCTAGGTCTTGAAGGAGCCGGAGGAAGAGCTTGGGTTTCAGATTTTCGGGAATGTCTCAGTTGGTGTAGAGAGGATCCCATAGGCTAGGGTGTTGTACGACATGCAAATGATCCATGTGCCATGTGCCTACCTGAATCATGCCCGGCTTTGCCTGCAAGATTGCTTTGTGACGCCCCACACTGTCACGCTCCCAGCAAGCAAAGAGCAAAGCAGCATGTCTTCCGATTTTCTGTGGAAGCCCTAAGCCCTAAATCCCAAACCCTAAACCCTAAACCCTAAGCCCCATATCCTAAACCAGCAGTATTGTGCCGGCACTAGCACTACCTGAAGCATGAAGCTGAATGGTCGGATGGCCGGTAGGGACTTGCCGAATACTCCTGAGCTTCTCAACCGACGCTCTGAGCTAGCAAGGCTTTGCAAGTGTTTCTTATGGCAAGGGGCTTTAGGGGGTAGGGGTTTGGGGTGTAGGGGTTTAGGGTTTAGGGGTTTAGGGTTTAGGGTTTAGGGTTTAGGGTTTAGGGTTTAGGGTTTAGGGTTTAGGGTTTAGGGACGAAAACCGAAACCCAACACCCCAAGACCCTGAGCAAGGCAGTGCTTGGAGCCTGAGCCCCCGCTACCTCAACTCGCTCTCTTCCAAGCCGCGCCTCGCTTGTCCGGGGGCTTAGGGTTTGGGGTTTAGGGTTTAGGGTTTAGGGTTCAGGGTTCAGGGTTTAGGGTTTAGGGTTTAGGGTTTAGGGTTTGGGTGCTCCAGGGATTTCTCAGCGCTTTGAAGACCCACGAAGTGTAAGATTATGTTCCTGCGACATCTTGATCTGGCAGCAGAAACAACAGTCGCTGCGCTTCAAAAGACACCGCCGACACTGCCACGAATACACAGACCCTCGCTTGGACTCCGAAGCAATGTGGTGCGATCCTGGCTGCGAGTACGACCTGTGCCCTGACGAGCTGAGCAGCTCCGATGAGGAGAGGAAGGGTGTTGCTGTTTGGGATGTTCCCCCTTATAGTAGCAGTCCTGAATGGGGATTTTAGTAGTCCCTAGGTATCATCCCTAGTAAGGACTGTGAGTATAAGGGGGAACCCAAGCTGTTGTGTTTGAGGAGCCAGAGTAGCAGTCACTTATTTCCCGCTTCTTTTCGGGTTTAGGTTCCCTTGCAAGCACGCTTACTTCCCCTGTTTTAGGGCTTAGGTTCCCTTACAAGCGCACTTATTTCCCCTAATTTAGGTTCCCTTATGGGCCCCTTTAAGCCCGAAAGGGCACCCCTTGTTCTATTCCGAACATTTCTCGTGTGTCTGGTTGAGGTCACGGACAGGGATGGAGGCCAAGCCTGATAATCTTTCGCGTCTTGCGGGTCGAACAAAGGTTTAGGGTTTAGGGTTTAGGGTTTCGGGTTTAGGGTTAGGGTTTAGGGTTTAGGGTTTAGGGTTTAGGGTTTAGGGTTTAGGGTTTAGGGTTTAGGGTTTAGGGTTTAGGGTTTAGGGTTTAGGGTTTAGGGTTTAGGGTTTAGGGCTGAGGGTTTAGGGTTTAGGGTTAGGGTTTAGGGTTTAGGGTTTAGGGTTTAGGGTTTAGGGTTTAGGGTTTAGGGCTTAGGGTTTAGGGTTTAGGGTTTGGTGTTTAGGGTTTAGGGTTTAGGGTCCATCTGTGGCGTCTCGTCTCTTCTCTTCACCAACCAGTCTCGCCTTGAGCTTTTGGACCCGGTGGATGGCTTGCTCACAGAACCTTCACCCCACCCATGCCTGGGGGTGAAGCCTGCCGGTGTAGTGGCCCTTGTGTCGGTTTAGGGTTTAGGGTTTAGGGTTTTGGGTTTTGGGTTTAGGGCCGTGAGTGCCTCCACGCGCCAGGGGAGAGGAGGTGGGGTCCCGCTTGGGCCCTCTACCTGCCCTGTTAGGCCACTTGACTCGGAGAAACACACCGGCAGAAGTGCGTGAGTATCGCCCGTCTGGCATATGAACATTGCAAAGACGTATGCTGGGCATGTCTGCTGACAGCCGAGTTGCGTTAACAGCCCTTTGCGTGCGCATGGGTCCATTGTTCACCTTTAAACTCCAAAAACATCCTAAAGCTCCCTAAGCATCCCTAAATAGAAAAACACGCCGGATCATCGGAACTGCAAAGGGGTGATACTTGAACCCCCTTAAACATCCCCCGCACATACCCTAGAAACTTTTGGAGTGTAGGCTTGGGGCTTTTGCAAGGCAAGCACGCCCCAAAAATCTTTACAAGCTGAGACAAAGCTTGAGCAAGGTCACTAGTGCGGCAGGCCAGCTGGTTTCCTAAACCCTAAGCCCGAAACCTGGCCGAAGCCCCAATCCCCGACCCTAAACCCGAAACCCCCCAAACTTGAAAGTCTAAACCCCAAACTGCGCAAAGTCCTCAAGCTCCCTAAACCCTGACCCCCCCCAAGCCCGAAATCGTAAACCCTAAACTCCTCAAACTTTCAACTCCAAACTCCCGCAACGCAGAAAGCTTAAACCCCCAAAGTAACGTGTGCCTTTGATCTAAGGTCTGGTCTTTTACCTTTGTTTATAGGGATCCGAAGAATGGGCCCTTGTCATACAAAGTGTATATACGGGGTATCCAGCAGGGGAGCCAAATTCAGGGCCCATACCTGGAAGCCCTAAACCCTAAACCCTAAAGCCTAAACCCTAAACCCTAAACCACCCTAAACCCCAAACCCTAAACCCTAAACCCTATAAACCCCTACTTTGAGCTCCCAGCCCCAGGATCTCGACATCAAAGGCTTCAGGGCGGAAGGCTACGAAGATGGCGCGGCTTCGAGGGAAGTGCGGGGTTCAGGGGCGCAGGGTTGAGGGAGGTTGTTTAGGGGTTTAGGGGGTTTTAGGGTTTAGGGTTTAGGGTTAGGGGGTTTAGGGGTTAGGGTTTAGGGTTTACAGTTTGGGGGTTTAGGGGTTCAGGGTTTTGGGTTAGGGGTTTAGGGTTGGGGGGTTTAGGGTTTAGGGGCTCAGGGTTGAACGTTTAGGGGTTTAGGGGTTGTGGGTTCAGGGCTTTAGGGGTTTTAGGGGTTCGGGGGTTCGGGGGTTCAGGGGTCTAGGGTCTAGGGGTTTCGGGTGCAGGGGGTTAGGGGTTTAGGGGTTTAGGGTTTAGGGTTTGGGGGATTAGGGGTTTGGGGCGTTGAGGATTCAGGGTCGAGGGTTTTTTGAGGTTGTTGGTCGATCTGGGTTGTTGGTCGATCTGGGTTTGCCGCGTACCATTGCGGTGCTTTGTGATGATAGCGGCAACCGCTTGCTGTGATAAGGACGAGGGGTACCTCCACCCCCCCCCCCCCCCCCCTCCCCCCCCCCCCCCTCCCCCCCCCCCCCCCCTCCCCCCCTCCCCCCCCCCTCCCCCCCCCTCCCCCCCCCCCCCCTCCCCTCCCCCCCTCCCCCCCCCCCCCCCCTCCCCCCCCCCCCCCCCCCCAAAGCCCCAAGCCCCAAACCCCAAACCTTGCTATTCTGCATCCAGTTCAGAGGGTTTCTTAGGGACCCATTTTCAATATTGGATGTTTTTGAAGGGTTTAAGATTCGGGTTGATGGTCGGGATCTTGTAAGTATTGCTTCAAAGCCGTGTAAGCCCAAAATTCACAAGTGCTGATTTCGGCTCCAACAGTAAGTTCGGTGCGGCTTCCAGTTGCAACTATGCATCTTCACCTGGTGTTGAGGGGTATACGGAGGGACCCCGAGAAAACACCCTTAATCTTATTCTATAACCCCTATATATACCTTATATAGTCCCGAAGTAGCCCCGTAAATAAACACCAAATAACCCCTAAGGTCCCTTATAAGGGTCCCTCCTTTAGTTCCTTGACGATGGGATCGGCTTCGGCTTGGCACATTATATGAAGAGTTTTCAGGGCTTGGGTGTAGGCTTGAGGGTTTAGAGAGATGGGGGAGAGGTTCCAACCCTAAACCCTGAACCCTGAACCCTAAACCCTGAACTTTCAACCCCCGCGGGTTCAAGGTAATGAAGGACTTCGTGAAGAACTGGAAGGCGGACGGAAGCGGCACTTTCGTGGATTGCTCGAAGGCCTTGTTTCTGCAAACCCCAAACCCGAAACTGGAAACCCAAAACTCTGCGCCCTAAACCTCAACCCTAGACTGGAAACGCTAAGCCCTAAACCCTTAACCCGAAGCCTAGCTTACCAAACCCTACACCCCAAACCCTAAACGTCCGAACCCTCACGGCCTTAACGCCCCCTGGCGCTGATTCAGGGGATAAAGGGCTTGGGCTTCAGGGGGTTAGGGTGTAGGATTAGGGCTTGAGGTTTAGGGTTGTTCAGGGTTTAGAGCTTTGGGGGTTTGGGGTCTAAGGTTTGGGGTTTAGGGGTGTCGGGTTTCGGGCCTTAGGGGCTTAGGCACCGAGGGGCCTAGGGGTTAAGGGGTTTAGGGGTTTTGGGGTTGACAGAGTGGTTTCATTGAGGCAGGCTTGTTCAGCCCCATGTAGGTTTAGGGCACCCCTGAAGGCCATAAAAGTGTACCTCGACGTGTCCCCGCATGAGCTGAAGAGCGTGGATGATCAAAACGAAGAGCTTTCGGGCAAAAGAGTTTGCCACTTAAAGGGTTTCGGGCTTAAGGCAACATATATACCCCAAATAGGGTAGAATCCCCTTAAAGGGACCCCCGAAAAGGGGCTCAGGGAACTTAAGTGCACTGTAAGTAGCTTCCCCAGTTCCCTTGAGCCTAAGCAACCCCCAAACCCTAAACCCTAAACCCTAAACCCTAAACCCTATAACCCCAAGGTTCTCCATGATCTTCGTGCTCAAGCTGGCGTGGCTGGATCCGGATCTCAAGAACTTTGAGACCACGCTCACACTGCGGAGGCCCACTCAGCCAATGGAGGATCCTCGGGCCTATACCAACCATAAACCCTGAAGACCCTAAACCCGAAACCCTAAACCCTAAACCCTTGAATCCCTAAACCCTAAACCCTAAAAGGGCTGCTTTTTTCAGGGGACCTCGGCCAAACACGGGCTTTGGCCGTAACAACCCTAAACCCTAATCCCTAAACCCCAAACCCTACTCGAGAAACTGAGGCGCACCTGCAAGATGTGAGGCTTGGCGCTGTTTGCTGGGGGAACCCAAAGTTGGACCTTAAAACCTGAACCCTAAGCTCGAACCCTAAGCCCTAAGCCCTAAGCCTTAAGCCTAAGCCTTAAGCCCGAAACCCTACACCCTACACCTGAACCCTACTTCCAGCTACTTGGCAGTCGCAGAACCGTCGGCTGTACTAGTTCTTTCTTACTTTTGTGCTTAATGCTGGCTTCAAGGAGTCTTTAGTGTGGTGCAAGTTTGTGGTTTTGGCTTCGCCGGGCCTGGAAAGGCTGGAAAGAGTCGAGGGTTCAGGGTTTAGGGTTTGAGGTTGGTATGTTCTCCCTTCTACAAACAGTCCCTAATGGGGATTATAATCGGGGGGTACCCATAGTCCCTATGAAGGACTCTTAGTACAAGGGCGAAACAATCCCAACTTTAGGGTTTCGTGGTGGCAAGTCACGCGGTGCATCTCTCAGGAGCGTCTTGATCACAAAGAAGTGCACAAACGGTTTAGGGTTTAGGGTTTGGGGTTTGGGGTTTAGGGTTCAGGGTTTAGGGTTTCCGGTTCAGGGTTTCAGGGTTCGGGGCCCCCCAAGGAGCGTCTTGATCACCAAGAAGTACGCCAACGGCGACATCGAGTTCGTGGACCTGTCGGCGCCCCACAGGGAGCTCAGGACGATGTGGACCGGCAGGAGATTAGACCAGGCTTCTGACCCCCCCAAAAGCATATGAAACCTAATAGCCCTAATAGCCCTAAACCCTAAACCCTAAAGCCTAAACCCTAAACCCTAAACCCTAAACCCTAAACCCTACACCCAAAGAATCCAGGGTTTCGGGGTTCTGGGGAAGGTAGGAGCTTTGCCTGTCGGGCCTGCAAAAGCAGGAGGCACAGTTTGGCTGTTCGTACGGCTTCTTTCCAACAGGTTGTTTCTTGACCTCCAAAGACGACCTAAACCCTAAACCCTAAACCCTAAACCCTAAACCCTAAACCCTAAACCCCAAACCCCAAACCCTAAACCCCAAACCCTAAACCCTAAACTCTCGACCCTAAGAAGCGCACGCAAGGAAGCGCGATGAGTATGTCGCACTGCAAGATCCCGACTGGAAAAGGCAGACGAGGGTTTTCTTAGGGTTTAGGGTTTAGGATTTAGGGTTTAGGGTTTAGGGTTTAGGGTCTAGGGTTTCTAGGGTTTAGGGTCTAGGGTTTCTGGGGGTTTAGGGTTTAATTAGGGTTTATATAGGGTTTAGGGTTCTAGGGTTTAGGGTTTAGGGCTTTAAACCCTAGGAGTCAGGGTTAAACCCTAAACTCTAGACCCTCAACCCCTAAACCTGAAGCCCCCCACCCCCCACCAAGCAGAAAACATCCAAAGCTTCCCAGTCCGCCGGATTTCCCAGGTACTTTTTTCCGACCTACTCCTTCTTGAATCTGCAGGATGAAGGCAAGAGCCTCCTGGAGACGACGGCCTTGCTGTGGTGCGACGCATCAGGTGGGTTTGTCTCCTATTCTGTTCCTCGGCGATTGTGGTTTTGTGTTTGGGTGCAGTTTAGGGTTTAGGGTTTAGGAATCAGGGTTGAGGGTTTAGGTTGAGGGTTTTGGCCGGCGCATCCTAAGCCCACCCCCAACCCCCGTGCCCTGCAACATCTGCCCGAAAGCCCCGAAGCCCCACTGAAGGCCCCTAAGTAGTGACGGGCTCTAGTCCCCTGGGCGCTCACTTGTCGGGAGTCCTTGGGCCTGTCTGCAACGCTTGAAGTGTTGCACTGACGTTGTTTGCTGTTCGCGCCGGCCTCAGAAGTAGGGTTGGCGTCGTGTTATTTCAGGCTCCAGGGTTCCTTTAGCGCTGCCCTCAGCAGCAGGAGTGTGCCGGGAGCTCGGAGCCAGGCCCCCCCTCAGAAGTAGGGGTTTCTGGGGTTTCTTTACTTTAGAAACACCGAGTTGGTTTCCAGCCTTTGGATGTGAAGGCCCCTAAGCCCGAAAACAACCCTAACCTCTAACACCCCCCCCCCCTGCCCCCAGGTCAAGTTCGACGGCGCCTTTCAGGAGGGTCTCGAGTTGCAGAGCTTCCCACTGGATCGCCAGCTCTGCAGGAGCGGTGCATGAGGTATTCAGGGTTTAGGGTTTAGGGTTTGGGGTTTAGGGTTCCGGGTTTCGGGTTTCGGGTTTAGGGTCCTGCCTCCTTTTTTTTCTTTTAACGTGGAGTAGCTAAACCCGAAACCCGTAAATACTAAACCCTAAAGCCGAAGCCCGAAACCTGAGGAGTTCCTGAGAAATCATCCGAAATGTGGGAGGTTGGGAGCTGAAAGGTTTAGGCTTCGGCTTGGGGGGAGGGAGTGGGCTCAGGGTTCAGGGGTTGCAGGGTTTCGGGTCTTTAGGGTTTTAGGGTTAAGGGTTTGATGGTTTTAGGGTGTTAGGGTTTAGAGTTTCGGGTCGTTAGGGTTTTTAGGTCGTTAGGGTTTTAGGGTTGAGGGTTTTAGGGAAGTTGTTGCAGGGCAGTTTGATGGCTCTCACAGGGGGTTAAACCCTAAACCCTAAGCCCTAAACCCTAAACCCTAAACCCTAAACCCTAAACCCTAAACCCTAAACCCTAAACCCTAAACCCTAAACTCTTAGAGGGTTTCAAGGGGGTCTTGGAGTCCTTTGGGCCTGGGAATCCAAGTCTCCTGGTCTTGCTAGGGGTGGGTGGATTCAGGCTGATGTAAGCTGATGTAGGGTTTAGGGTTCAGTAGGGTTTAGGGTTTAGGATTTAGGGTTTAGGGCTTGGGGTTTAGGGTTTAGGGTTTAGGGTTTTGGGTTTAGGGCTAGGGGTTTGTCATCATATTCTTGGATAGCGCGCTGAGAGCTGCAGGATCACGATATCGGCTGAGAAGCCGGTCCAGGAGTTTCAGCCACCTGTCATAAAAGGCTATCCCTAAACCCTAAACCCTAAAACCTCAGCCCTAAACCCTAAACCCTGAACCCTAAACCCTAAACCCTAAACGTAAACTCTAAGCCCTAAACCCTAAACCATAAACCCTATATTGGGGGGGGGGGTGGGGGGGCTGGGGCAAATAGTAGGGGACCCACGTCAAAAGTGCAAAACAAGGTTTGTTCCTGTCGCCGGCAAGAAGAAGATCAGCCAAGTCTGCGACATGTGGCGTACCTTGGTAGCCAATTGGTGCCCTCATGAATCCATAAGGGTTTCGGGTTTAGGGTTTGGGGTTTAGGGTTTAGGGCTAGTGGCAGCCCAGTGGTACCCTTTGCCCTTTTTTTTGGTGCAGGGTTCCCTTATTCAAGTCGCCGACCCACTTAAATGGGTGCCCTTTATGATAGTAGGGATACTCGGCTACCAAGGTACCGACGACGACATACAGCAACGGTGCACGGTCTACACGCGCCACTGTGACAGGCAAAGGGTTGGCGCCTTCTTCCTTCCCTTCCTCAAGTAGAGACCCCAGGTTGCCCCAAGCCCGAGATAACCCCCTAAGATCTAACCCTAAACCCTAAACCCTAAACCCTAAACCCTAAACCCTAAACCCTAAACCCTAAACCCTAAACCCTAAACCCTAAACCCTAAACCCTAAACCCTAAACCCTAAACCCTAAACCCTAAACCCGAAACCATAAACCCTAAACCCTAAACCCTAAACCCTAAACCCTAAACCCTAAACCCTAAACCCTAAACCCTAAACCCTAAACCCTAAACCCTAAACCCTAAACCCTAAACCCTAAACCCTAAACCCTAAACCCAAAACCCTAAGCCTAAACCCTAATCCCTAAACCCCACACCCTGAACCCATAAATCCTAAGCCCCAAACTCTCAGAACTCCCTCTGCAATGTCGGTTTCGCTTCGGATCTTTGCCAGGAACTTCCCCTATGAAGTGCAGCGGTCCTGCGTCAGAGCCCTTTTCCACCTGCAGCGCAAAGGCAGAGAAGGGGTCTGAGTGTGGAGGGGCTGTAGGGTTCAGGTTAGGGTTTAGGGTTTAGGGTTTAGGGTTCAGGGTTTAGCGTTCAGGGTTCAGGGTTTAGGGTTCAGGGTTCAGGGTTTAGGGTTTAGGGTTTCGTGTTCACGGTTCAGGGTTCAGGGCTTGTAGGGTTGGAGGGTTTAGGGTGTATGCTGAGACAGGTTGGCGATGTAGGGCTTAGGCCAGAGAACTCCTCAAGGAAGGAAGATGCCTCGAGCAATAGAGAGATGAGAGTTTTAAGGTCGTTTCCCAAACTTTCAGGGCTCTGGGTAGGCGACAGGGGGCCTAGGGTAAGGGGGTTCCCTGCGGCAGGCGACTACTACTTTCACAGCGTTCTGGTCATGGTCTTCCTCGTGAATGTCATCAGCCTCTGCGCGTTCTCCATTCCCGTGGCTTGCTGTTGGCTTGCAGGGAATGAGGGAATTAGGGGCCCTATATATAGCATATATATATATATATATATCTACTATATAACTATATATATATATATGTCTTGTATACCTTTTCAGGGATTATACAGGGTACCTCACTCCCCCATAAACCCTGTCAACCAACAGTAAGGTGGACGACGCGAGCGGCCGGCTCGGGCATCTGAGCACCTGCTTCCTGGCCGTGCTTGCGTATCGCTACGTCATCGACGACTCGCTGCCGCGTAAGGAGTACCTCACGGCTGCGGACATGTATCTTCGTCATAGTGGGGGTAAAACATTTTGCAAATCTGAGGGTACTCAAACTCAAGAAGGAACAAAAACAGTCCAATTTTAAAAAACGATCCCAAAACCATGAAAACTAGGTACATCATCTTTGCTTGCAGCTTTCAAGTGGCCATCTGCGTTGAGACGGTGATTCTGGTCATCCTCGAAGCGCAACTTGAGGCTGAAGAGGAGGACGCCACGGACACGTATCGGTCCCTTGACGTTTCCTTTGGGCTGGTGCTGTCTCTAGTGTGGCTGAGTACAAATCTTTACCTGCGATGGCTGTGGACATCAGGGAAGAGACAGGAATCTTGGCAGAGTGTGTACCACAAGAACAAGGAGCCCTATGCGCCCACCGATGAGTGTCTGGCCTGTGGACACCATCGCCTCAGCAAGCAGTGCCAGCACAGCAATCCTGACAAGTGCTGCGAAACTTGCGTGCTTGAGCATACCCTTTTATCTTAAAAGGGCGCTCTGCATAAGAATGATTCACCCTAAACCTTAAACCCCAAACCCATAAACCCTAAACCCTGAGCCCTAAACCCTGTTAATAGTGCGCTACTTCCGAGAGTTCAGGAAAACTGTGGCTCCCAGAAGCTCGAGACAGTCTACTACACCCCCCTGGACCGTCCGCCCCTTGTGGCGCCCCAGCCGTTTCCGCGGATTCCGCACGCGCTCAGAGAGGCCCCCAAAGAGGCCCTGAGGCCCCCCTTCAGCTCTATGCCGCAGCGAGGTGCGACACAAAGATGAGCCGAGAGTCGGTCTGGGAGCAGATGCCTTTCATCAAGCAAAAGATCTGGGGAAGTAGTGGGTGGGTTTAGGGGTTTAGGGGTTTAGGGTTTAGGGTTTAGGGTTTCGGGTTTAGGGTTTAGGGTTTAGGGTTTAGGGTTTCTTATGGCACCTGTGGTCTCCCGTTGGCTGAACCTTCTACCACAGACTATTGAAACTTGGGAACCTCCACCGTAAGATGTCCTCCACCCTGAACCCCAAACCCCAAACCCCAAACCCCAAACCCCAAACCCTATACCCTAAACCCTAAACCCTAAACCCTAAACCCTAAACCCTAAACCCCTGCTTTTCCCCCTCTGCCTCAGCTGACAATGAGGGTCTGGGGATTCTTATGGACTTATGGGGTTTTCACCGCGCAATACAATGGTTCAACTGATTTTGGGCTTGCGGTACGAAAGACTGTTTGGTTAAGGACTCAAGGAGATATGCCCAGCCAACATCATGTAAAGACACATTGACATATCACCTGAAAAAAGACACGCAGTCTATTGGGTCCATAGGGAATGGCGGTCAAGGCGCCATGCGGACGCTGAGAGGGAAGGACTTGTTGCTTTCCATGCCACGTGTTGTGCAAAGCTGCGGTCGCATGCTTGCTTGAACTTTCGTGCTGCAGGGGGTCAAGCAAAATTTAAGCTTTTTTTTCCCCCCGATACAAGCGAGTCACGGGCTTCTGGACAGGCTGCCTGGACCAAATATTGTGTGGTGCGCTGCGTGAAGAGTTCTGTGAGAGTTGTGCTCATCTTTTTTAGCTTGGCATGTCAGTTGAACTGACCTACGTGTTGCATTGCAGGGCGTGCGTGAGGTTGCTGTGTGGAAGTTGAGTTTGTCGGTCACCAAGGCCACCATGCAGCCATCCGAAGTGGACAGGAGGGCCTACGCAGCGAACGTGGGGGTGGTGGTGGTGGCGGTGGTGGGGGTAACGCCACCTTCATCTGGTTCATCCGGTTCATCCGGTCGTCCTTCAGAGCAAGGCGCGGCTGGATAGAGATCTCAGATCTTTGAGCTCCTCAGCCTAGCGTGCTCTTTTTGCAGATGAAGCTTTCTCACGACCATCCAACCTGCCCCCGATGCGGCAAGCACTCCGAGATCTGGAGCCTGACTCAGAATGACTGGCTGGTCCTTCGTAAAGAATGAGGGAATGAGGTACCCTATATCCCCCTCTACATACCCTTTCAAGGATTATACGGGATTATGTAGGGTACCCCCCCCCCCCCCCCCCGTTCCCTACTAAGGACAAGGGGGGATGAGCCCATTGTGTCAGTAGTTCCTATCACTACGGGGCCAAAACCCGAAACCCTAAACCCTAAACCCTAAACCCTAAACCCTAAACCCTAAACCCTAAACCCTAAGAGCCCCGAGTATTGCCCCTGTAAAGGCAGCCCATCGCGAGCGTCCGCGAGGCCTTCGCTGATGTTTTCTCATAAGACGCAAGCCAAGGATGGTCAGGGTTTGGGGTTTAGGGTTTAGGGTTTTGGGGTTTAGGGTTTAGGGTTTTGGGGTTTAGGGTTTAGGGTTTAGGGTTTCGGGTTTAGGGTTTTGGTTTAGGGTTTAGGACGAACACGGAACACAGAAAGAATTCTGGCATGGCGTGGAAGCAGTCAGACGTGGTTTGGAGCTTCGTTCTTGCAGTTTAGGGTTTAGTGTTTAGGGTTTAGGGTTTAGGGTTTAGGGATCCGGGGGTTCTTTTGACACCTGTCCTCTGCGCCTGCTCTTCAAGCCGAAGAGGCGGGCCTCGAGTCCCGTCCTTCTGGGCGAAGAGGAGCGGCTGAAGCGGCCTTCTGGCGCCGAAGTGGACCGGGGGTTCAGGGGTTTAGGGTGGTTTAGGGTTTAGGGTTTAGGGTTTAGGGTTTAGGGTTTAGGGTTTCGGGTTTAGGGTTTAGGGTTTAGGGGGGTTTAGGGTTTGTTTAGGGGTTCAGGGGTTCAGGGGTTTAGGGGTTGAGGATATGTAGGATTTTAGGGGTTTAGGGTATTTAGGGCTTTCGGGTTTAAAGGGGTTCGGGGTATGTAGGGGTTTTAGGGGTTTAGGGGTCTCAGGGTATTTAGGGGCGGCAGGGGCTTAGGGTTTTGGGGATTATGGATCTAGGGTATCTCGGGTTGTTAGGGTTTAAGGGGTTCAGGGTATGTAGGGGTTCAGGGGTTCAGGGGTTCGGGGGTTTTAGGGGTTTAGGGATTCAGGGTATTTAAGGGGTTTAGGGTTTTAGGGTTTAATTAGGGATTTAGGGTATTTAGAGTTTTTGGGTCAGGGTATTTAGGGGTTTTAGGGCTTAAGGGGTTCAGGGCATTTAGGGGTTTTAGGGTATTTAGGGTGTTTAGGGTTTAAGGGGTTCAGGGTATTTAGGGGTTCAGGGGTTGAGGGTTCAGGGGTTTAGAGGTTTAGGGGTTTCGGGTTTTTTAGGGATTTAGGGGGTTCGGGGTATTTAGGGGATTTAGGGGTTTAGGGGTTCAGGGGTTTAGGGCTTTAGGGTTTAGGGGGTTTTAGGTTTTCTTGAGTGCGTGGCTTTCAAGGAAACGGCACTGTGCATCCAGTAAAGGATTCAGGACAGAAGCTTCAAGTCAAAACCTGGTCAGCATGTCGGGCATGTGTACAGGAATGCCATATTGAAGGGTTCCATTTCCAAATGTTTCAAGCTCGTTACATAAGATTGTGTCAAGTAAATTGATCATGTACCGGAATGCGGCCTCAACAAGCATCCAAGTCAAGCGTCAGGCAGGCCACTGTTCCGCAATGTAGCCTTAGCAAGCCTCAGGAAGCGTGTCCGGGCCAAGCTCCAGGTTTTTGCTCTTCCTGCTTTGTGGTTGCAGGGTCGCTGGCTTCTAGAGTAAATGTGTCGCGATGTGGGCCAGTGGTAAGCTCAAACCCTAAACCCTAAACCCTAAACCCTAAACCCTAAACCCTAAACCCTAAACCCTAAACCCTAAACCCTAAGCCCTAAACCCTAAACCCTAAACCCTAAACCCTAAACCTTAAACCCTAAACCCTAAACCCTACCCTTGTCCTGAAACGGCTGTGAGCTTTGCGTGATTGTAGAAGCCGAGGATCTTTGGGCTTACTGGTATGCCCCCAACTCCGGATAAAGTCAAGCGCCGTGTGCTCCGGCAGCAGTGGAGGTCAAGATTGCTATCATTATTATCATGATCATTATTATTTTTGTGATTATGACTATTTTTGTTATTTCAAATATTAGTATTCATATTCGTAGTTTTAATATTGTCAGGAGTAAGTTGGAATGAGGTCAGAGCCGCGTTTCTCAGGAGACGTCCAAGCTTAGGACCGGCCGAACACGAACCCTGCCGACATCCTGCTGGTCGACATGCTGCGGTGGTGAAGCGGCGGCAGGCCAACAAGGGCAGCTCGATCGCACAGGGTCAGAGGCATTTTGTAACATCGTCTGCGCAAGTCTGCTCTTATGGCCATGGCAGGCGTCTGCACGCGCATATTATAGACCCTAAACCCTAAACCCTAAACCCTAAGCCCTAAGCCCTAAACCCTAAACCCTAAGCCCTAAGCCCTAAACCCTAAACCCTAAACCCTAAACCCTAAACCCCTAAACCCGAGGATGCCCTAGACCTAGTTTCGTGGTTCGCCCTCTTCTGCCCATTCCCCGTGAGCACCGGAAGAGGCGTCCCAAAGCTTGCGCGCTCCTAAATCCAACAAAACCATAAAGAGCTTAGGGTTTAGGTTTAGGGTTTAGGGTTTAGGGTTTAGGGTTTAGGGTAGTACTATTCTTCGTACATTTTTATTCTTAGTACAATACCATGATTAGTATAGTTTAGTACTGTTATCAGTAAAATATTTTTCTTATTACTTTAATGCTTGTTTTGGTTCTGGGTTCCCACTGTAGCTACTTCGACCTAAAATGTTTTTACTGCTTTCCAGGGTCTACTCCACAGTAGGGTTGGGAGCTTAGGACCTGCACAAGCCGCCCTCATCATCAACACCCCGCCGACTGCGTGGTGCCTGACACTACTTATGTTGAGATCGGGTCGTTGCTTGAGTTCCAATGTGACCAATGTGGTGACCGTACCGAAGATTGGGAAAGCCAGGTTGCCAGTGGCGCAGGTTACGTGCTTTGAGCTGCCGGCTTGCTTGACTCCCGTCTCTCTCACATTCCTCAGTCTTTTTGCAAAATCGGCGGTTTGTGCATGTGCAAGTACCATTTCCAACTGGTTCTTGGAGGAATGATGGGAATGGCCTTCAAGATAGCATGTCTTTGAATACTAGCCTGGAAAACCGTCAAAAGAGAAACAGCTAACTAGCACAAGAACACAACATTGCCAAGACAAGGCTGGAAAACAAGAAGCCGCAAAAAACTCGCTTGTGCATTGCTGCTCCGAAGTCTTTTAGTCGGCGGCTTCACCACAAACTCATGGTGTGGCTAGACGACCAAGGAGCCGGCCTTTAGCGGCATGCGGATGAAAGGCGCTCAGAATCTCGGCGTTTCCGCTGCGTGCCACCGTGCTCTGTTTTCGAGGCAGTCTGCCAAAGGTCTCGCACCTTCCGCAAGCTAGGGCATGCGGAAGGTGCGATTGGTGCATTTAAACGCTGCGGGTGACTTGAAGTATTTTCCAAGTGCCACGCACAGCCAATTCTGGGAAGGAATGCTGGTAATGATGGGAATGGCCTGTAACCCCTAAACCCTAAGCCCTAAACCCTAAACCCTCTGTAGTACTCTAGG